GTATGAAATGCAGGAGGACGTAGGCATAGATCTTAGAGCAGCATGTGTTGTCTCCACTACTTCTACCCTCCTTCCAGGTCCTGGCAGTGGTTCTGGGGTCACTCCTACACCTTCTCTGGGACCCCAAAGCTGGCAACCTGAACTCAGGAAAAGCAGCTCATGTGGTCTGACTCACAATTCTCCCACGGCAAGCTGTGGCCTTCTCACAAAGTCTGGTCCACCCTTACAAAGATGGAGGCAAGATAAGAGTCCTCCGCCTCCAGAACATGCCACCGCTGTCTCGCTCTGCCTGTGGCTAAAGAAACCCCAGGTGCCTGCAATCCCAGCTACTCAGGAGGCTGAGGCAGGAGAATTGCTTGAATCGGGGAGGCAGAGGTTGTGGTGTGCCAAGATCACAGCATTGCACTCCAGCCTGGGCGACAAAAGCAAAACTCCATCTCAAAAAAAAAAAAAAAAAGAAATCCCTCATGTTGTCCAGCGACCCCAGCCTGGGACTCCCTGCCCAGAGCTCTGCCCACAACCCAACATCACCGTTCCAGCCACAATTGCCCAAGGCTCACTGCCAAGGTGGAGGCCAGCCAGGGAGCAACAACACCGGCCTTTTATCCTGCCCAGGATGATTCACAAAGACAACTCAGGGGCTTGAGGGGAAGGGGAAGACCAGGTCCTGGCAGGGGCAAGCATGGCACGAGAGGAGGCTGGCAAACACGAGACTTGTACTAGTAAGACAGAGCGTAAAACTCAGCACAGAACCGACACTGAGCTCCAGCTTCAGGCTGAGTCAACAGCCCCCTTTAGAGGAGGGCTCCACCCCAGAGGCCCACCCTATGTGTCATCAGCCCCTCCCCAGCGCCCTCTGCACTGCCCCCAACCCTCTACCGGATATGCAATCCCATCCCCCAGGAGGGTCACCCCTGCCTCAGCACAGCTCCCATTTCCTGCCCCTGGTGACTCCTCTGAAGTCTATTGTTCCCATGAAGTTTGGGTCAAAGGAAGCAGAGTCCCCACCCATGGGGGCCCGCCTGCCTACGCCAAGCTAAGGAGCCGGCCCCCGCTGCAGGGAGCCTGGCCCATCCTCTGGCCCTTCCAGCAGCCCCCCTGTATTAAATGCAGGAGGACGTAGGCATAGATCTTGGAGAGCTGAGTTCTAGTGGAAATTTTCCCAAATATCCAGTCCCTACCAGCTGAAGGCCCCAGGGCCAGATCACACAGGTGTGATTAGAATCTCCCAGATAGGAGCCGGAAAAACCAAAAGCAAGGGAAGAACTGTCATTTCAGAAGGGGGTCCAGGCAAAACCGGAATTAGAAGAGAGGAGCTGGAGACTGTGTGCTCCCCAGTGCCAAAGCCCTGCCCCCACCTCCACCTGGGCCCCCCAGGCTGCTGACAGCCCCCTCACCCCCCCTCACTGGAGAGCAGCTGTTCAGCTCCAATTTCAGAGCTTTAAAGGGAGCTGTCGTCCAACCCCTGCCAACAAAGGGTCATGGGGGCAAAGGAAGACAGGCAAGGTAAAGCCACCCTCACAAGCCCTGAATTTCCAACTGCCACTGGACTGACCTCAATGCAGGAAAGGCAAGGTCCAAAGCTGGGGACCAACGTCCTCCACTTCCACTGGGAAGGAGGAGGAGGAGCTACAGGTTTGGCAACAGGCGTTGCTTTGTGACAGTCATCGGGGCAAGACTCCAGAGTGGAAATCAAAGGAGGTTGTGACATTTGCAACCCAGGAGATCTAAAAAGATAGGGAGAACCTTCACCTGGCGGCTCATCAAGGGGAGAGGAGGGTGTGTTTTAAAGACCCGAGGGCCCCTTCCAGACTCCACAGATAGTACAGTGAGATGGCTCCTTCCCCAGAACAGCTAGGTGCTTTCTGCCAGGATGGAACAGAGTATTTCTGCTCCTACCAACCTTATCTGAGCCACAAGGCACAGCCCAAGTCAGTCTGCTCCAGCTTCCCTGCCTGTTGGATGAAGGCGGCTGGGGGGAGTAGGGAGTGCACAAGCACTGCAATCCACAGGGTAGGAGACAGAACGCCAAAGGGAGAGCATCGGTTCTAATCCCCGCTCTGCCACTCGCCAGGGTTGCGGCGTTAAGCAAGTTACTGTCCCTCTAGGGGCATCAGTTTCCCCATCTTTAAAATGGGAGACTTAGGCCAGGTGCAGTGGCTCACGCCTGTAATCCCAGCACTTTGGGAGGCCGAGGCAGAGTTCAAGACCAGCATGGCAAACATGGCGAAATCCCGACTCTACTATAAAGTACAAAAAACGGCTAGGAGCGGTGGCTCACGCCTATAATCTCAGCACTTTGGGAGGCTGAGGCGGGCAGATCACCTGAGGTCGGGAGTTCGAGACCAGCCTGACCAACATGGAGAAATCCCGTCTCTACTAAAAATACAAAATTAGCTGAGCATGGTGGCACATGCCTGTAATCCTAGCTACTTGGGAGGCTGAGGCAGGAGCATCGCTTGAACCCGGGAGGCAGAAGTTGTGGTGAGCCAAGATCACACCATTGCACTCCAGCCTAGGCAACAAGAGCGAAACTCCATCTCAAAAAAAATATATATATGTATATAAAACTAGCCGGCCAGGAGGCTGAGGCAGGAGAATTGTTTGAACCCAGGAGGCGGAGGTTGCAGTGAGCCAAGATCATGCCACTGTACTCCACCCTAGGCGACAGAGTGAGACTCCGTCTCAATAATAAATAAAATAAAATAAAATAAAAATAAAGTAAAATAAAAGTGAAATAAAATAAAACGAGGGACTTAGATGCTGACATTAGGGTATCTAATAATGTTCAGCAAGCTCACCCTGGGGCCAAGGCAGAACTGGAATCAGAAAAATAGAAGCTGGGACTATGTTCTCTGGTGACCAAGCCCTGTCTGTCCCCCTCCCTCCTGGCCTCGGCCACTAGGACCCTGATTCCTAAGGATGTAGAACACAGCGTAGGCCTGGCTCATAGTAAATGCTCGGTCCATGTTTGCTAAATAAACATGATAGACAGGGCAAGGTTTCTCAGATGGTGCTCAGAGAAACACGAACTCCAAAACCACTAATCCCTAGGAAAAAGAGGTTCTTACTGAAATAAGCTTAGGAAACACTGGATACAACAGCCATCCTATGGAGTCCGTGGGATGTGCGGGAGACTTAGGCCAGGTGCAGTGGCTCACGCCTGTAATCCCAGCACTTTGGGAGGCCGAGGCAGAGTTCAAGGTAGTCCCAGCTACTCAGGTTAAGGCAATGAGGATTGCTTGAGCCCAGGAG